GTATGTTCTTGTTCAATGACATGGTGGTGCTTCATAGCTCAAAATAACATCGGTTTTAGTTGGTTAACAAATTGTGAATACAAATCGCATTTATGTTCCATACATTTTTTTTTAAAAGCTACTTTTTCTATTGTTTTCCTTCTCTTTTTTGTTTATGCATATTGTATTTTTTTGTAAATTATTTTTACTTAATTTTGTATATTATTTTAGCAAGCCAAGAGTAATTTTTGTTTACTTTTTCATATTCTGTATTCTAAGAAACCTGTGTTACCTGCAGTTTATTGCTTGGAATTGTGGAAAAAATAGAAAACTTCACCAGTATTGTGAAGATACAAATATGATTTGTATTAAATTGTTTAACTAAGTATACTAGAAAGCTTATATTTTGAAAGTTTATGGCAAAACAGAACTTACAGAGCCAAAGAAATCTGAGAAACCTATCAACCAATTATAATGATTGTACCTTATTTGCATCTTAATTCCAGCAAACTGAAGGAAGAAAAGACAATTGGAAAAATCTGAACAGTGACTAGATACTTTGATAATAGGGAATTATTGTTAATTGTTTTTAGGTTTAGTGATAGTATTAAGATTAGGTTTCAAGTATTTTTTAGTAATACATACTGAAATATTTAGTGATGAAATGATATGATGTCAAGGTTTGCTCAAAATGATCTGGGCCGTGGAGAAGTAGGTGGTGATACAGATAAGAATTAGCCATTTGTTGATAATTGTTCTCAAAGTGTGGTCGCTGGCCCAGAAGCTTGAGCACCACCTGGGAACTTGTTAGATAGAATGCAAATACTTTGGCCCCACCGTAGACCTTCTAAATCAGAGACAGTGGGGTGGAGCCCAGCAATTTATTATAACAACCCCTGTATTGTGTAAAGTGTAAGTCTAATACACATTAAATTTTTAGAACCACTGCTTTATGTTATTCTTCCAATTTTAGTTTATGTCTGAAATTCTAATAAAATGTTTCAAATAAAAAGACTAGCTTGATGAATGTAAGAAACCAAATTTTCGTATAACAAAGAGAGGCTGGATTAGAGGCTAAAACAAAGGTCCTGTAATTTTCTCAACAGTTAGCAGATGAATTGGCACAATATCAGCAGTGAGCCAGTGGCTAATGATAGTCTTAAAGCAAATCACAGATTTTGCTTTTCTCTTATAACAGTGGCTCTACATTAAAATCACCGAGAGAACTTGTAAGAA